CCTCCACCCTGAGCGGCCCCCAGAGGCTTCTCCACCCTCAGAGGCTCCTCCATCCTCAGAGGCTCCTCCACCCTGAGCCGGTCCATTAGAGGCTCCTCCAACCTCAGAATCTCCTCCACTGGAGACGGCCCCTCAGAGACTCCTCAACCCTGAGATGGCCCCTCAGAGGCTCCTCCACCCTCCACCCATCCGGGCGTCATGTGACCCTAGTCCCTGTCATGTGACCCTGGTCCATCTGCACTGTGACCCCCCCACCCTCCGGCTGGAGCTGAAGGTGTTTTGGTGGACGCCAGACGCAGCTGCTCACCGTTGTGCTGACGTCTGTGACGGCCTCCTGAGAGGGAACGGCTGTGGGGTGATGCCGGACTGGCCCGTTGCCCTGGTTACCGCCCAGCGCCCCGGCGGGCGGGGCTTCCGGCTGAACTGTTGCTGGCTCGTCCAGCCGCCACGCCGTAGCTTCTTCCGTCTCTCCTTCGTGCTCTTCGGGTTTCTCTGTGCGTCTCCTCCATCCTGCTGGACGTCGTCATGGCAACACAATGCTGCTCACATGTTGTTTTGGGCGACCCTACAGATATTTATCCATATTTATATCCTGGGCTGAAGCCGGCGCACAGAACGCTTCATCCCTCAGCCTGTGCTGGAGCCCCTTAAAGGAGCAGTACACACATTTCTGTTGGGTCCAGTTCCCCCTTTTCACCCTGTTCTGGGACGGTTTGCTCAGTGAAATGTCCTGATGGGCACAGTCACACTTCTACAGACACACTGACGCTTTGCTGTCACAAGGAACCCCAGACGCACACAGAAGAAAGGCCAGCAGAGCTCCAGCTTTCCCTTTCTCTCCTCAGCCTGCACTCATCATGTTTAATACTGTAAATATGTATTTGAAAATGCCAAATCTATTTTTATAATTTGTTTGAAGAACAATGTGTTGAATATAATATCTGCTCACTGTGTAAAGGTTTTACTGGTTGAATTTAGCCAAATTTGGAATATAAAGGAAAAAAAGTATCTTTCTTTTGTTAATTTTTGATGATTTTTAACTGTTGGAAAGAAAATTGATGGATGTTGAATTATGGAAACGTGTTATTAAGAAATCTCTAATCCAAGGGAGTGATCTGCTTCTTTTTTTATTTCCACGTGTGTTTGAGTGTGTGTGTGTGATTGAGTGTCTGTGAGTGAGTGTGTGAGGGGACCGGCGCTAAAGCCAGCGTTTGGGTGGTGTTTCATCTAAAAACAACACATGTGGTTCTTCATACTTACTCTGAGTAAGAGTGATGAGCAGCGGTGCGCTTATAGACACGTTGACTAAGATATGAAGCACACACAGACACACAGACACACACCCACTGATGAACACAGTCAGCCGAAACATCAGTTTCAGCTGTTTGATTCAGCTGAAACAGAAGTTTTAGCTATTTAATTCCACTTAAAATGACCTTTTGCCTGTTTAAATCAGTTGAAACAGAAGTTTTAGCTGTTTAATTCAGCTGAACTTAAGCGTGAGCTCCTGGTCCAGGTCTCGGGGGCCTGCAGGCCTGGTCACATGATGCCGCCTCCAGAGCAGGTAGTGGTTGGATGCAGATTGTGTGCGTGGGCGTACGGCTGTGTGTGGAGGTGCGCGCTCTGAGGTCGGGCTGTTCGTGGGCTTACAAACTGAGCTCTTTTTATTCATCTCATAAAGTTGCAGCAGCCTTCGTAGCTCCTGTTTCACCGACTTATTGGAGCTGGAGACTTAATGAGTTTCATCACAGAGTGAGAAGCGCCCACGCAGCCAAACACCGGCAGCTTCAGACGCCGAGCCGAATGGCGGCCCAACGGCGGCCCCCAGGCTGGTCCCCCAGGCTGGGACTTCAGACTGGGACCTCAGGCTGGTCCCTCAGAGAAGCCATAGGAGCCGGAGGAGGAGCTGGAGGAGCCAGACTTCGCCGACCGGGACAAAAGAGGACAAAATGAGTTCAGGTGCCGGCCGTCCTCAGGCTGGTCTTAAGCCAGCGTGAAGGGGACAAGTCTCCCACACAAAGGCTCTGCTCACATGCTGCAGAGCTCAGGAGGTAATCCCCGTTTTGTGGAGGCAGAACCAGCAGCGCAGGACGGGAGATGAGAGCCGGCAGGAAGCGGGCGAGGTCTGCTGGGAGCTGCTGTCCCTGTCCCTGTGTCTCTGTCTGACTTTGTCTCTGTTTCTGTTTCTGTCTCCATCTTTTTCTCCGTCTTTGTCTGTCTCTGTGTCTCTCTCCGTCTCTGTCTTTGTCTGTTTCTGTCTATCTTTCTGTCTTTATCTCAGTCTCTATCTCAGTCTCTATCTCTATCTCTATCTCTATCTCTATCTCTATCTCTATCTCTGTCTCTGTTTCCGTCTTTGTCTGTCTCTGTCTTTGTCTCCAGGCCGCTCAGACTCTGCAGCAGCTCTGATTAAAGCGCTCACTTTGCTGCAGGAGCCGGGTTCAGATGGAGGCTACACAGTCCCACAGCGCCCCCTGGTGGCCCCACAGAGTTTCAGTTCAAGACGACTCAGAGAGCTCGCTCTGTCTTTATTTGTATCAGAGAAGCTTTAACATCATCGCAGAGACACCAAACAGCATCGGGACACTTTGTGGAGCGGGAACTCAGAGGTCAGGGGTCGGGTTAGGGCCGCCCGTTGCCCGGCCCGCTGGGGGGGCAGGGGGCAGTGTGACACAGCCAGCAGCCAGAAGGGGGCAGTGTGACACAGCCATCAGCTAGCAGAGGGCAGAGGGACACAGCCAGCAGGGGGCAGTGTGACACAGCCAGCAGGGGGGGAGAGGGACACAGCCTTACCCACAGAAAACGGGGGATGTCCACCTCCGATTTCTGCCTCTAACTCTCTGCCACTTCCCACCGTTCTGCGTTCTGCTCAGCTGACATACGCCGCCAGTCACATGTGGTCAAACGTATGTCTCTGTTCTCCTTTCTGTTTCCTCTGCTAACCTCCAGGAACAGTTCCCGTCACTCAGCCCGTCCAGGAGCTGCTCTCTGGACCAGTTTCTGACCACAGAGCTGCTGCGTCAGCCTGGCAGGTCGACGCCAGCTGAGGGGCTGAGGCAGCCTGGGAGTCTGTCAGAGGCCTGACGGAGCCGGTTCTCCATCAGAGAGAGGCAGAGGGAGGCGGGGGGGGGGGGGGGGGGGGGGGGGGGGGGGGGGGGCATACAGGTCGCTCACCCTGGTTCCTCGGTACTCATCCACCTGCAAAGAACCGGATTTTCAGGAAAATGCTTTTATTTCTGTTTCTCGAGAACTGAAGCGTTTGTCAGCCGTGAACTTCCTGGCAGCCGTCCAGCTGGCAGGAGCGTCCAGCCCGCTCAGCCACAGCTGGAAGCTGGAGTCCACATCTGGAAGCTGGAGTCCACAACTAGAAGCCTGATCCACCACAGATCTGATCCACCAAAGACCTGACCAAAAACGTGTGCAGGCCTAATCCACCAAAACAAAAATTTAACCACCAGCCCCCCCCCCCCCCCCCACCCTCCGACCTGCGCATGTGCTGGTCTGAGCAGGGTGACACAGAGAGGGAGATGCAGAAGAAAAACACAAGTTCAGACGACTAATCTGTCTAATCCACAAAGCTGTGAAAACGACTGGGGATAAAGGGGGGGGGGGGGGGGGGGGGATGGTGGTGGCGGTGGTGTTAGAGGGCTAATTTCAACCTAATTGAGCTAAGGTGATTAAGTAATGAGGGCCTTTGGCTTTGTTTGGGTTTATTTACCTCAGATGTGATCACATTAGAGAGCTGAGCCAGAATCAGCCACAGAACACCAGCCCCCCACCCCAGCCTGGGTCTTCAGCCCGCCCCCCACTGCCCTGGGTGTCTTTGTAGGAGGTTTGGGGTGGTGTGGGGAGATCTGAGGTGGTCTGAGGAGGTCTGAGGAGATCTGAGGTGGTCTGAGGAGGTCTGAGGAGGTCTAAGGAAGTCTGAGGAGGTGTGAGGTGGTTTGGGCTGGTCTGAGAAGGTTTGAGGAGGTCTGAGAAGGTATGAGGAGGTCTGAGGTGGTCTACGGAGGTCTACGGAGGTCTGAAAAGGTCTGAAGTGGTCTGAGGTGGTCTACGGAGGTCTGAGGAGATTTGAGGGGGTCTGAGTTGGTTCGGGGTGGTCCGAGGAGGTCTGAGAAGGTCTGAGGAGGTCTGAGGAGATCCGAGGAGTTCTGAAGAGGTCTGATAAGGTCTGAGGTGCTCTACGAAGGTCTGAGGAGGCCTGAGGAGAAAATGAGGAGGTCTGAGGGGATTTGAGGAGGTCTGAGAAGGTCTGAGGAGATGTGAGGTGGTCTATCTGAGGTGTTTCTCATGATTTTCTCCGCTGCCGTCTCCGCTCACCGCCTTCTATTCCAATCAGACAAACAACAGACCTCCCGTGTGCGTTCTCTGTTCTGTTAATGAAACCACACTGGGCCCCGGATCAGTGGAGGCCGGGTGGTGCTGCCGTCTGATGCCAAACATCGACCTGCGCTTCAGGTTATTGTTCTGTGGTGCGCATAGCGCCCCGGGACAATAAAAGACCAGTGAGATTAAGACAATTAGGGACTTGATTGTTACCCAGAAGACAAGATGAAGAAGGAGATTAAACCAGGAGATTTAGGTCAAAGTGAGTCCAGAGGAAGGAAGGAGGAGGAGCAGGCAAAAGGAGGAGGGCAGAGGGAAGGAGGGAGGCGGAAGAGGGAGGATTGGGGTCAGAGAAACCGATCTCTGAGGCACAGAAGGAGAGTGATGTGGGGGGGCTGATCCTGGCTGGGCATCACCTACCGGCCTCACCTGGTTCCAGCTCCTCACCGGGGGATTTTCCGTCTGTCTAGACTCCTGAATCAGCACAAGCTGTCTCCTTTTCTCTGCTCTCTCCGTCTCACTCTCGTCCCTCCTCCTGTTCGCCGCCAGCCTAATTAGCAGACATTTTTATTGATCCTCTGGATTTGGTGCTGAAATCCCGTCTCTGTCTGCCAGACAGATCTTCCTTAAAGTCGCCTTCCTGAGCTGGGGCTGCAGGGGGGGCGGCTCCGAGGTATCTGCGCCCCCCTGTTGGCAAAGCGTGCAGGGCGCTGCACCCTGAACCGGCTCTGACCCCCCTGCACCCCCCCGCATGCCCCAATCCCCCCCCCGCAGACTGGCTGCAGGCTGCAAAAGAAGAGCTGCAGCCATTAGGCTCTTATGCTCCCTCAGTCTGATTAATTCAGAAAGTAGCAGATTAAGATAACCTCTCTACTAATTAAGGAGCACAGAGAGATTACAGAAGCCCCTAAATCACAAATTAGCCACTGCACACGGCCAACAGACCCACATCTGCTGCACACTCTGCAGGGACATTACAGGATTAACACAATCTGAACAAGCTGACAGCGTGAAAACACCAGTTTATTTTGAAAACGTCACCATCAGAACATTTATTTGTTAAAGACCAGCATGACATTCCAGTAGAGAGGGCTCAAAGTGCACAACCACTGTGACCAAAGACTACACAAAGAGACACAAAACAACCTCAAAGAGACACAAAACAACCTAAAAGAGACATAAACAATAATAAAGAGACACAAAACAAACTCATAGAGACATAAAACAATAACAGACACAAGACAACCACAAAGAGACATAAAACAATAATAAAGAGACACAAAACACCCTCAAAGAGACATAAAACCATAACAATGAGACACAAAACAACCTCAAAGAGACACAAAACAATAACGAGAGACAAAACAACCACATAGAGACACAAAACAAAAACAAAGAGACACAACAACAACAGGACACACATCAGAGCACTTTTTCTATATGTGAGGACTCCTGGTGGCCTCAGAGGAACTACACGCGTGTAAAAACATGGATTGCTGTTCACCAACAGCCACCTGCGTGTTTTGGCGTGTTTCAGCCAGCGCTGCTAGCTCTGAGGAATGCGTTTCACTTTGGTTTCTTTCAAACTGCCGCCACAGTCGCACAGGTTCGGCAGGTTTTGGAATGCAGGAGGCGCTTTTATCAGGTTCTGCGGGTGGGGGGGGCTGGGCAGCAGGGGGTTCTGGGTCTGGGTCTTCCTGTGTGGACCTCCTCCATGCAGACCACCGGCTCTGGACTCTGTGTTGGGGTTCTGCAGACCCATCCAGGTCTGGGTACAGATGGTCTGGGTCCAGCTGGTCTGGATCCAGGTCTGCAGGT